CTGATATTTGAAACTTTAAGGTATAATTGATGTAGGTGAGGGTTATTTCAATTCATTTTTGTTTGCTAATCTCAAGTTTAGACATAAAGAGGCACAATATTTTGACTACCAAATTTGTTTTTTAACATGTTGACAAAATTGACACACCCTAAATTGCTTAGCCTCCTCAGACCCGTATATCCTTATTCGCATTTTTCACTGCTACACTGCTAAACTGTTCTGTATGATTATAACATGTATCATGCATGAATCAATTTCCGCATAATATGAATTCTAAGGATTACAAGTTTTTGAACCATTGTATGATCCATTGTATGATTTATCAAGGCCCCGGTGTCTCTGTGTGAAGAAGTTTCCTGGTGTATGATGATCATGAATTACTCAACTTTCCACGTATAAGTTTTAATTTTAAAGCCCTATCACTCATATTGATATTTGTTTTCTTATTAGAAATATCTATGTGTGTGTTGTTTATGTTGAGTTTATATCGCAACATCTATTTATTATTATTTCCGAGTGAAATTACTTCTGAACGTTGCCACATGTACAACACGTTAACGTTACCACAGGGGGTAAACGATCTCTTTGAGGCAGCTGTTAGATCTTCACTAAACTATTCTTGTGTGTGAATTCTGGGAAATTTTGGATCATATGAAGATTAGCCCCCTAGCTTATCTCGCCTTATGATTAAATACTCTGGGGGGTTAGGTTAGGTTAGGTTAGGTTAGGTTAGGTTAGGTTACGTTACATTACATTACATAATATAAGGGTAGGTTAGGTTTGGTTTGGTTTAATCTCAAAGTGAAATAAATTAGGGAAAGTAATCTTCATATGGTCCAAATTCATCTATTAGTGGGGCAGCTAAATGCAATTTTTCAAGAGAATCATGCAAATGGTGATACAAACACCAAATTTAGCATGGCAATTCTCTAATGATTACTAGTCAAGTCTGCCTGATTGGCCATTTGAAAATCGAAGATGGCGGCCATTTTTCAAGATGACCGCCATATTGACCTTCAAAAGTTGATTTTTCTTATATAAATTGATGTAGTTGGTCAATCTGAGTGATCTTGGTGTCGATATGTATGTTTTCAAGCATGCTCAGATGATTTTTTTTATAGTTTGAAGTCCATTGTAACATTTTTATCCACATAAAATAACACTTTTAGTAAAAAAAAAATATAACAAAAAAGAACTTACTAAAAAAAAAGTACTCACTATTAGCACTGGTTCCTGTGACTTCTCCTGACAGTACATCTTTGTGCATTTACTGCTGTTCGCATATGCAGCTGCAAAGTGCTGTGCAGGAAAGTTCAGAGCGAAAGCATTTGCATCTCTGGTTGCAGTCTTTCTTACAGGAACATTTGGTCAGCTCCTGACAGCATGTCGCAATCGGGGGAAGAGTCGTCCAACGTATCTGCCATGCCTCTCCCTTCTGCAGACATCCACAGTTGACAGGACTGCATTGTTTTGTTCATGGGCTTGATCAATAGCAATGGCAGAGAACTCTCTTCCTGACTTGTGGACAACAAAGTTCCCCTTGTAGAACTCCCTCGCTACATCTGGATTTTGTTGCTCAAGGCACATCATGTCTCGAAGGTGAATTGGAAGCCATCGGGCATAATTAACATTGTTGTTCGCAAAGAAGTAGGGGATCAGCTCTGAGAGTGCTTCAAGGTAGAGTTTGAAATTGCCTTCCCTGAATGAGCGGATCAACATGAAGATGGTGAGCTCCATGTCCAGCACAAGGTTCCAGAATTGGAACTGTGAACTCTCAAGCCTCAGTTGTTTACACCAATTTTCAAAGCTCAAAGTTAACCTTTCAGACTCATCAGAGCAATAGTCCTGGTATGTCTCCTTCATCAGTTTGTACAAACTACATGCTGTGACTTGATGTGCTAGTCTTGTCTTAGTTACACTTGACACAGAGAGAAAAGACTCTGCTGTACCAGATGAAGCCACTCCTGCTTCAACAAGGGAACCGGTCCAACCACTGTCTTGTAGTAGCGTTCCTATTGATCTCAGTGCAGCCATCCTTATGTGAAGTCCCCCGAACATAATAACATACCTGTCTTCTCCATACTCAGGCCAATGCCATTGGATTTGTTTTGCCAGGGCATACAGTGGCTGGTCAGCAGCAATGACTGGGATCTGACCTGGGTTCAGAAAAGCCACTGTATCACGAACCTTTTCCATGACATGCGCTGATGGTTGCCACAGAGTGTGCCTGATCTCGAAGCAGGGGAAGCAGAGACATAATGCTCACTTCAAATGGCTGACTCCTCTTCTGTGCTGCATGGTGAGCTGCCCACGTGATGCAGACTTCATCAGCCACATCCTCAGTGAGCAAGACTTCTTCCAACCAAGCATACTCTTCCTGCAGGTGTGACTGGATTGACTCAGGTGCTGGCAATGACTGAGGTGCTACCAAGGTCGGATTGGGATTCTTCATAATATAAGCTGGTCGCACATTGGTGAATGCCTCTGGAAGCTCAGGAACTTTCTAGACCATCGTATGTGCATTCCGTCTTTAGTGGCTCACGCTCCTCACCAGCCTGCTCAGGGCTTGGATGTTGTAAGATGGACACACTGGTCCCACGAAAGGACGTTTTGGCCGTAGTCGTAGTGGGGTTGTTGTCAATGTTGTCCACTGCTGAAGTCGTGAACAACTGCTTCCTCATGATTGGTGGACACACCACTCCATCTTCCACGTACTGGCATACAACTGCTTCTCCTTGCTGGGCTGATAATTGTAGAACTCTGTCATATGCAATGCTGACCCCAATTTCATGCAGCATTTCGATGAGCTGCCTCTTTCTTGTCTTAGCAAACACAGACATGCTGACGTAGATAGCAAAAGGTGTCTCATGGTCCTTGGAGTGTTTGTGGATTTGTGTTCCTACCTTGTAGTTGGCAAAGCAGTAAGAGCTGTGACATAGCAAGGTCAGACAGACTTCGATGCGCCATGCTGGAGTTGGGATTTGATATCTGCACCACGTTCGATCATGCATACAAATTGAAGCAGTGATGGTGGAACAGCCTGTTCAATGCATCCTTCATGAAATGTACTGCTAAAGTGTTACTTGTGCTGAAGCATGTCCCGTCGTATCATCTCAGCAGCCTTGGCCAGATGGATCGCGTCACCGTATTTGCTTGCTTGTGCCAGGATTGAGCCAACATCCTTCTCAAAGGCCAGTAGGATATATCTTCCTTGGTGATGAGCTTGCAGCTGGGGCATGTGAAAAAGCAGCTGGTCCTTCAGTCGAGTAGCATGAACATCGGGCGATCCAACACCCAGCTGCTCAAGTCTCTGTCTGTAGAGTGTGACCAGGTCAGCAAGTCTGAAAATGGGTGGTTCAGTACCTTCACTAGAAGCTTTCATCTGAGTGGTGTAAGTGACCAGTTCAGAGAAAGCAGTTGGGTATGCGTCCTTGTTCGGATGAAGCTCTTGTGCTTCCTCTTACTCATGAGCATTTCGGTGTGTTCTTTCTCGGTTGCACAGGTCTGCCAGGCAGCGAGAGTGATACTTCACTTCTTGTGCCACAAAATCTCCTGCACTTAGTTTGGGAAGGATTTTTCCATCGCTAAGTGTCTTCGCACAATCATTCAATCTTTTATAACGTTTCATTATCATTCCATGTCTTATGTCATTTCCCGAAGCTTTTTCCTCACATAGAAAGCATTCTGTTGCTTTGGGGTCTCTGACCATTCGTGGTATTTTGCTACTGCTGCTCTCCTCTGTAGCAACTGCAGAGGTTCGCCTTTTCTGAGCTCTATTTAACTTTGTGTTGTTGAACAGAAGTCCGCAACTCTCATGATACTGTGCCTTGTTTCTCCTTAAGGTCTCCTCTATCCCATCATCTTCAACAAGTCTTGCAGGGTCAAGCTTGATTGGCAGTGCATTGATTGAATGGAATAGATGAATATTCCTTGCCAATCTATTGTAATCGTCATATCCTTTTTTGGCAGGATTTGCATGTGGAGACTTAAGATCTTCCTTCTTATCCTGTTGACAAAGACAACACTTTGCCCAGTCAGTGAGGAATGATTTGTTGGTAGATTTTGTGTCCATAACTATTTTTGATCTTCAGGGCCGAGGGTTTATCCTTTTATCACCCTGATGAGAACTGTCTTGTATGGGATACAGCTAGGTTCATGCCTTTTGCCCTACACCTAGTCCGATCGTTCATCCAGTGTCATTAGTCCCGTGCGATCTTTACACCATCCAGATAACTAAAACCCAGTTTTCCTTGGCTCGGCTCTCCCGCGCTGGCACATCCTGTCAATTCAGGTGCGGCTGCTTAACTCATTTGGGGTTGGTTAAGCAGCATATGGGACACTAAGCTGTTGCAGTATGACATGCTTTTTCTTAGCTGACACTGAACCCCATGCTGAGTTGCACAGCAGTGAGTCACCTGTGTGCCCTGGTTGTGCCCGAAAATCACTCCCTCACATGCGGAGACCCTCTGCATGCTACCCTCACCTAGTTGGAAAAAACATAAAACCAGTACATAAAACCAGTCATAAATAACACAAATATATATGTGAGAGTATCAGAAATAAAAAAAAATCACCTGAGCATGCTTGAAAACATACATATCGACACTAAGATCATTTAGATTGACCAACTACATCAATTTCTAAAAAAAACAATCATCTTTTGAAGGTCAATTTGGCAGCCATCTTGAAAAATGGCCGCTATCTTGGATTTCCAAATGACCAATCAGGCAGATTTGACAAGTAGCTCCTAGGGTATGATCATGCCAAATTTCATGCTCGTATCACCATTTGCACGATTTTTCCTCTCTACTATATAAATGGATTGATATTTGATGCTGTTAATTTGTAATTTAGATTTGTTTTCCTAGTTCCACTTGTCTGTTCTCTTCTATTACCTCATTTTTACTTTCAAGTTTAGAATTTATCACCCAATCTATTTTCCGGTGGTGACTACAGACGTACAGCAGTAAAGCATCTTGTTGTTCTTAATTGTTGTCCAGGTGTGGTTACTGATGTTGGCCAGCCTCTTGAGTGTGGGCATGGCCATGACCTGTGTGGTAAGGGCTGAGGATAACATCTTCGGGATCCTCACCAACAATATCCTCCCCAAGTCTCTTATGTGGGTCATCCAGACACTCTCCCAAGAGAGTAAGTTAGCGATCTTTTTCATCTTTATATTCTTCTCAAAACATAATTTTAATGTATAATGTGACTTTTTGTGTTATTTCTGTCTGCAATGCACGGTCACAAGCTTGAAGATAAAAAGCTGAAATTTAGCAGATAATTAATATTGTTTAGTTATTCATTTAGTTGTATATATTTATTATTTTTTGCTTAGTCCTATGCACTTAATTTCGGCAAAGCTCTGGTTAACATCACTTCGTCAAAAATAACACGAGCAACGTCGAAACATATATGCGGTTCATGAAACTATAATAATTGTAATAGAAATAATCGTGATAGCAATAACAATGAAAATATTAATAAATTAATAATAATAATAATAGTAATTATAATAATAATAATAATAATAATAATAATAATAATAATAATAATAATAATAATGATAATTATAATAATAATAATAATTAGTATTATCATTATTATTATAATCAAAATTATGTAAGTTTTTACTGCTGGAGAACAAGTGCGAAATGATGTCAGTTAATTCTTCACTTGGTATCATGCCTCAGACCCTTCTACAGTGATCGATCGACTTCATTTAGTGTTAAATCAAACGTTTCACCTCTTAACTCCATCACACTTTCATCTGGCAACATTAAATCAGTGATGTATTAGGTAACATAAGAGCGTTACCATATAAAGGATCACTTTTGTATACCCACATGATTTCTTCACCATTCCTTCATTCTTCTCACAGGTTCTGAGTGGCTGCCTACAGAAGGACGGAGGCCGCCTCATAGTGACCACGTGGCTCCTGGCCTCCTTGGTGTTCATGACCTCCTACGGTGGCATCCTGACAGCCATGTTGACGTGCCTCGGGTCACCATCCCATAGACTCCTGGCTGACTTGGTACCAGACTGACCTGACTTGGCACAATGAGGCTGGCTCTAGCTTGCTCACATACTTTGAGGGTAATTTCAAAACTAAATGAAAGAAACTTATATCATAGATACAAATATAAACTACTGAAACTTAGAATATTTCCATTATCATTTACTCGGGTTTACTTTTGTTCACCTGTTTGTAAATGAATACTGCATATATTTATTTTAATATTTTCATTAGTGTCTATCAAGCTAGGAAAATACATCATTAAAATTTTGGTTTTACTTGCAACAAAATCATTCCATACTATCATTCTCCTAATTCTTCATCCCCCTTCATTTACCTTGTCCTAAACTAATCCTGCCCCCCATCCCCCAAAAAAACACCTTATTACTTCACCCCAGTAACACAGGCAATTGCCCTTCTTCCTAGCTGCAGACGTCAAGTCAAATACTCAACACATTTTTTATAAAACGCTGAGCTGAGGTAGTAAGTTAGGTTAGGTTAGGTTTGGTTAGGTTAATTTTGTTTAGGTCAGGATAGGTAAATAATTAAGGCTGGTTTGTTAGGCAGTGTAAGATCAGTTGAGAATAACTTAGCTTAGGTTAAATTCGGTTACGGTTAGTTTTAATATCAGGTTAGGTTAGGTTAGATTAGGTTAGGTTAGGTTAGGTTAGGTGTATTAAATTAGATTATGCTAGGTTAGATTCTGTTCCTACCAGCGTGGCGAATACAAACAAAATATATGACAATAGTTTCTCTCTCTCTCTCTCTCTCTCTCTCTCTCTCTCTCTCTCTCCATATATTCCCTGCGCATCTGTATCTTCTTCTCTTTAGCTTCTATATTATTATTATTATTATTATTATTATTATTATTATTATTATTATTATTATTATTATTATTATTATTATTATTATTATTATTATTATTATTATTATTATTATTATTATTATTATTATTATTAATATTATTTATTATTATTATTATAATAATTATTATTATTATTATTATTATTATTATTATTATTATTATTATTATTATTATTATTATTATTATTATTATTATTATTATTATTATTATTATTATTATTATTATTATTATTATTATTATAATTATTATTATTATTATTATTATTATTATTATTATTATTATTATTATTATTATTATTATTATTATTTTTTATTATTATTATTATTATTATTATTATTATTATTACTATAATTATTATTATTATTACATTTTCGCCCCCAGACGTTGTGGGTCATGACCTGTGCCTGGTGGGCTAATCCCGTAAAAAAATTCACTTCGTCATTCATTATTCCATTTGCTGACAAATCCTCCGCTTTTCTTCCTTCATTCTCTCTTCATTCATAGTTACATTATTTTGTCTTAATTCTTTACTTATCTATTATCATCATATATCCTTTATTGTTCTATTTCACATTCTTATCTAAATTTACTGTATATTGTTTTCTATCTGTCTCCTGTTTATACTTATTATCAATATATTTTCATTAGCGCATATTTTCATCATAAATTTTCTCTTCCAAATTATTTAAATTACCTTTACAACATTTCTTTTTGAATAAAACATCACAGCATCCATCTATTTTCAATTCTTTATTACCAATTGTTTTTCCTGTCGACCTCATCCATTCATTTCTTTACACTATATTTTCTTATTACCTTTATAATCTTGTAACTCTTTCTCCCACTTGTCCTTTCGTCTATTTTACATAATTTATGTTGTTGATTCTTGATTTATTCACTTGGCAGGAGTCCCCGGATGAGTTGCATCAGAAGGTTCACAGAGGTCAGGGCCCGAACATTAAGGCTTGCCTGAATAGGCGACAGAATATCGCAGATGGTAAGTTGGCTGCCATCTGTGACGACACCACCATGATGAAGGCCATGGCTGATGACTTCAGGTAGGTGCTGCTGCTGGACTTATGTTATACGGAGTCTAGACACAGTTTCCTGGTATCTTAGACATTTTCTGGATCACCTGAAGATTAGCCCTCAGCTTATTTCACCTTAAGATAACTAACCCAACGCAAACATAACGAATAACATGAAATAACATAACATAACATAACATAACATAACATAACATAACATAACATGACATAACATAATATAACCTAACATAACCCACTGGTGTTTAATCATCAAAGTGAAATACATATTTTTGGCCACTTTTTGAAGACTACCTAATTTGATAACTGGCAATAAACTGAATAAATAAGTTAATATAACTCAGCATATTACTAGATGCATGACTATATGATGTTGAGATATCAGCAAAGACTATGGTTACAGCGAGACAGGAGAGTGTCATCTATACATCACACGAGAGAAGGTGTTGAGTCACGCTATTATGGCTCGCCTTCACAAACACTCCTCTACCTCGCCAAGACCAACAATTGTAAGCTTTTGAATTCAGAAAAGTTTATTTATTTTTTTAGATTTATAAATAAGTTTTTGTGCATGTAATATGATTGCCAGGTGGTGATAATATAAAGGTGATGTTTGAATTGACTATCAGAAAAAAAGTAATTAATTTCGTTTTCTCAGAAATATTTTACTTTCTCTACTGCCCATCTTGCAGGATACTAATATTATCTTACCCTCTTCTGTCGCTTCATCTTTTGTAAAACTCATTTTTCTTCGGTTTTAATGTCTATGTGGATTTGTTTCTTCTTATATCTTCAATTCATCAAATCTTTTGTCCTGTCTTCTATCACTTCCCGTTCCACTATAACCTTCTTAACCTTCTTCGACCACCACTACCTTTCACTTGACCTCTCTCTCTCTCTCTCACATAATTCCTCTAATGAATATCTTTAGTTTCCTCAGACAAGGTAATGGTGAATAAGATTAACAAAAATCCGTTTTCTCGATATTTAAAACCCACTGAACAAAATCAATCCACATGAAATTAAAAGCAATGACAAAGATTTTCAATTCAACAATTTTTCAACTACTTTTCCATCAGTCCAAAATTCACCTGGTGAAATACATAAAATCCACCTAATGCAGTACAGAAAGATTTAACAATAGACCAAATCAACTAAATCCACCCAATTAACAAGAGCCTCTCTCTTACTGTGTGTAGAGTGCAGGTAGTGCTGGAGGCAGGGTTGTGGAACAAATGGCTGGAGACCAACTGGCTAACTCTTCACGCTGCCTCCGCCACCCTCAGTTGGACCGTCGCCAGAGGTCTTCAACCTATCGACATGGACTCCTTCATCGGCCTCTCCTCCTACTCCTCGGTCAGTGTTACTGATTTTTGTTGGCACTGTATTTTGAAACCATTTTTTTCGATAACTGTATATCATAAATCCTGGGAGGTTTATTATTTGTGGTGCATATAGAATGTATAAAAGTCCGTGTGTATTTTCAAACTTTAATAACCTGTGTAAAATGTGATAAAATTATCTACAAAAGGAATAGAAAAGGTAAATGTCAAAATTTTTAGCACAATTATTGCATACATTTCTAATTGTCAACATAACCACCATATCTCATGATACATGTTCATACAGGTTATAGGGCAGTAAGTTAAATACGGCAGGATAACAATGTAGACTTTGTCTGACATTGTCGTTACCTTATTTCTAGGTAGATATAATTGATACTTAAATTTAATTTTCAACTAAAAGAAAAGGAGGAAAGAAGGACCATAAACCAATTTGGAAGGAACATTGAAAACATGAAAAATCTTTTTAACATGTAATGACTGCGTTTGACACCATTATAATGGGTCCTCTGACACCATTGTAATAGATACCAATGGTACCATTATGAAAATATAGTGAGAGATATAGTAGGAGGGATTGCAAAGTGAATAATGATGGTACCGTGGCCCATAATTATCAATCATAAATATAAACTTAGGAAATCTTTTAAACACCAATATTAGATACGAGTTATTTATTAGTTAACTGAATGGACCTTTGACACCTAGATATAAACATGAAATGGACACACGTCCTACTAAAGTAATTCAATTCATCCTATGGATCACTCTGACAATAACTCACGTGTAACCTGTGGGAGACTCAGCACTGGGGACTCTAACTGTCGGCGGTGCGGCTGGAGACAGGTCCTCCTCGACGTGTGACTCGGGCTGGAGTGTGGTTCCTACGGATGCTGTACTCTGTCTCCTTGGGTCTCTGCCAGCTGGGGACTCAGCGGTGGGAGGGCGATCTTCCTCCCGACGTGGGACTCAGTCTGAGGGTGACTCTGACTGGTGCTGGTTTTGTGTTTCCTGGGAAGCTCTGCAAACTGGGACTCAGCGCTGGGGAGAGGGTTACCAGGCCGCTGTTGCCGTGTGCTGGTCACGGGGAGTGGTGTGCTTATCGTGGTAGGCTCTCCGGTGGTGCTTCCTATTACTAATCTGGGTGTGTTTGGTCAGGTGATGGTGTACTGGCCCGGATAACATTTCTATCTTGCGTACTTACTCTAAGGTTTCTTTAAAAATGAACACCGCAACTCCTGTTGTCTCGGTAGGGTTATGAAAATTCTTCGTCCGTTGTGTCATATTGTATCACACAAAATGTTAAAGATACGTTTTGGAGCGATTTTACTGTACAATACATACAATTTATTAAAGTTTAAAACTCAACACCTACTATATAAAAACCTTGCATATGTAACCATATTGATTAAGAAAATATGAGTGCATACCATGAAATAACAAGATTTGCAGCTTGTGAACTTCTAACTTCAAACATATGATCCTGAAAAAAAAATTTGTCATTGACTTTGACCTGCTAAGTCTCATAACGCGGCGGCCAAGTGGATGCAGCGCTTGACTCTTGTTCCATGGGTCGTTGGTTTGACTCCGTCGCTCCCACTTCACCCAGCTGTAAATGGGTACCTAAGTTTATGGAGAAATGAAATCGGTCGAGAGCAGTACCGGCCATGCTGGCCCCTTGTACCGAGGCTTAGTATCCACACTGTCACTAACAGGCAGTCATGCCTATAGGATCCACTTTCTTTCAA